CGTTCCTTAAAAGTAGCTGTATATTGACAGGAGCGCGCGAGAAAACTGTTGTTTTTAAATAAACTACACAATTAAAACTGCCAAATTAAAATTGAAAACAACTTTCTGCAATGCGTTAATCTTTCGAGCTTTAATCTGCAATATATTGTTAGTACTTCATAAGTATAAAAAAACCAGATCTCAGTAATGTATGAAAATTAAACTAATACGGGCTGGTTTAATCAAACACTTAATATTCTTGGTTTGATTCATTGAAGTTGTTCGTTCAATATTTTATACTGTATTTCATCAGAAAGGTAAAAATGATCCTTCTATTATATATAAAATGGTTGCTACGCCGTATAAGAATTAATATTTGATCGAATATTTACTTGAAAACATAATTTTTATCTAATTTATTTTATTTTATTTTTAAGTAAAAACAAAATTAATTCAGCATTAATAACAGCATCTTTGCTTGGCCTCATCTAGCACATTCTATGAATTTTTTGTCCGAAGGCGCATATTATAATGTTATAGATTTCTTGGCATGCTTTTAGCAGTTTACATTCTACGTGCAGTATCTTAATGTTTCATACCGCAAGTGACACTAAAAATGAAGCTTTTTTCTCTCGGTAATTTATTTCAACTAATCTATCATCGAGAAACATCTTTAACTTGTTTTTATAACCCAGATCAGGTAAAAATCTTGCGTAGTTTTGGGCTCAGGTCGAGAAAAGTCGGTTTGTCAGCAGACAAATCAAAGGGGTTCAAACAGTGGAACCGGGGCCGGTAGGCGATTCTTGACATTTCTCTCTTTTAGTAGGTAAACAAAAGAAGTGCACTCAAAAAATTGTATACGAGGCAACTTATATCTTGGCTTCCTTTGTCCCAAATTTGCCCTTAGAAATAAATACCCACAGATACTTCGCTTACTTAAGCCCCGATTTAAGGATCATTCACAAGTAAACTCGGTATCGAAATGCCGTATAGTTCCATTCTTATTGTTCAACCTCTCTCTCTCTCTCTCTCTCTCTCTCTCTCTCTACATTTATTTTAATCTATTTTAATCTCTATATACGTAAGAATGATTCAGAATTTTCTCGATGGGGAATCGGAAATTGATACAGGGTTGATATAAAAAGTCGTTCCATTTTCTATTGAACTGGGTCTTTTAATGGTAGACATTGGCCCCGAACCCCACGTCAAGGGGGGTGGAGGAGGGCGCGAGGGTCGGCTTGGCATCCGAGGCCTGTCATTCCTAAAAAAAAAAACGCCCCCCCCCCCCCCCCCCCCGCCCTTCAAATAATCCCGAATCCGCCCCTGGTGCTTAGGCTGCGTGTAATGGAATATAGGTTTAATTTATTTAAATAAGATGTTGAAAATGGAATTATGTCTAAAGCAGCTTTCTTTATTTATATATATTATAATCATTTATTTCACTCTTCTCTGCAGGCTTGGCCCAAGATCCGCTCTGAGGTGGTCAAATCCCTGCAGACCATTATGACCCTGGGCGCGGACCTGATGGAGGCCTTCCCACAACTTGGTATTAAGCAGCGAAAGTTGAACATGTTCGTGGTGAACAAAATAACTCAAGGAGACTATTCCTCCGGGAAAGTGGCAACGCTGCTCTCCCTCGTACGCTGGGAGGTGAAGTACATCGAAGAGGAGTTCTACCCCAAAGTAAGCACTGTAGTTTTCTCGTTTCTTTGTACCGCTATATATATATATATAACCTACTCTCATTTGACTGACCTCCCCAACCCCATCTCTCTACTACCCTCTACCAGGGCGACAAATTGATTTTCCACAGATTTTCACAGATATGTCTCTAGATAAATAGACAGTCATTTTGGTCAAAAAAATGTCCACAATAATTGCGGCCCTGCTAGAGGTTTATCTCTACTTTGTGGCAAGCTTAGCGTTGGTGCATTCGCTTCCCTCTCTCTATCCTCCGAAATAGAAGGTATGCAGCAGGCTTCTATTATCATATCTTTGCGTTCAGTCCGTTTACATCAAGTGCATACACATTATATATTTTTCACTCATTAGGAAGATAAAAACATCGTTTAAGATATAGTTAAAATAACATTTTCATTCGAACTATTACTGGGTATTGTTAACACTAATCGTTCTTGCAGGTCAATAACGCACTGAAGGACATATTTGGCTCAGTTTCCAAGGACAGACTGTCAAAACTGGTGGAAATCGCCGACAAAGTTGTGAAACAAATGAAGATCAAAGCCTCTCTAGATGCCATTCTGTCAACCATAGCCCCCATTGATTCCACCATTACCATTCGGGATATTCTCCGCATGCAGGCTCGACTTTTTCCACAGCGGACATGCTACAGAATCTACCCACTGAGTCCCGCCAGGGCCGGCCAGTCTCACCCTACGTACCGAGTGCCAACAACTCAGAAATTGTACCGCATACGTGACGCCATCAAGAACGGACTGGCCTTCGTTGCCGATACGTGTGCTGGCGTGGAATCCGTAAGATCAATCGTTATGTCCAAGGAGAGCGTTCTAACAACCGATCTGTTTAACTATTTGTTAAAGACTATTAAACCCAACTCTACTTGTGTTTCTAATGTGTCTGGTGCCATTTGTACCTAAGCCAGTTTAAATTTGTTAAAACAGGCATAGGGTGGATGCAAGCACCATGAGCATGGGATTATCGCAGGTGGTGGATTGATATTTTCAAGAAAACTTGGATAATAAAGCATAGTTCAGCAATTAGTTTCTGTTTTTTACTTTTTATAATTCACGAACTAAGTATTATAAACTGCCAAAAAAATTGAACCTTATTCATAATAATGTGTTTTCAGAAATAATATTAGATAGATATACAGACTTCTACATACTTGTCTTTCAGAGGAAAGTATGATCCAAACTACGCGAAACCCTTATAAGTACCACGCTATTATCATGCGTGTGAATGTAACTTATTCAGTATGACATTGCGACCGACCCCCAGTACCACCCCCTAGGGCTCATGCGCACTCACACGCACACAAACGTGCTCTCGCACACATAATCACGAATAAACATTTTAATGTTATTTATTAAAATACGCACAGCATTTCTCTCCTTTACGCAAGCCGCCCAAGCATAGCTGTGTACAGTTGTTCAAAGTTGAGGCCTGATTCTAAATAAGCCTATTACTGGGGTCGTTTTTACGGCAATCAATCAGGGGGCAGCACATGATGACAGGAAACCCATGCTTTTCTTTATAAGGCATTATACATGTATCAGTAAAAGAAAATGACTAAGCACACCTTTTATGCACCGTGTGAAGGTCCTTTCCTTACTTGTGAGGGACCTTTTAATGACCACCCCGACCCCCGCATTAAAAAGATCTCCTTTAAAATTACCCCCACGTGAGTTGGGCACAGTGGGCTCACATATTTGGATAACGCTATCTGTTAAACTGCTACGGAGATTGACAGGTTCTATGTCTTAAACTTGCACAGAAAAGAAGAAACGCCTCCCACGTTGTTACTTTAACAGAATACATTTTGCTAAACTAAAAGTTGCATGGTACAATAAAGATCCCTTTTCAGACTCAATCTCTCAAACTCCTTCTCCTTATAGTCTCTCTCCCCTCTTCAAGATTTAAGTTCACAGATGTCTACGCTTAACTTTATCAATTAAATTTTCAATTAAATAAATCAAACTGATTGGTTACTTTAAACACAAGTACACTCCATCATGGTGGGTACTCCCAATAACTCCATGTAATCAGACCTAACGGATTACTAGCTTGAAACAAAGGACATAAAAATATGAATTGCTAGGTGTAAAAAGCAACCTTAAGCTTCTTATATATCTTAGTTTTCCATATGTAAATTTTATCTGATAAAGACTACCACTCATTGAATTAATACCAGATTTAATGTATGATTTTTTTACAGTTTTTCCAATACTTTGGTCCCTGACAATCGTGGTCATAATGACGGCACTCGGCAAGGAATTGCGCTCGGTTTAGGATATTTCGTGTCGTTCAGAGCCGATGCAGCAATTCTTTGGCGATTACAGCAAATAGCGCTTGCTGCTTGTGGAAAAAATTATTTCTGTCAGTAGCCTTAAGAAGGTATCTCTCATGTGCGGTGAGATTTACAAACGATTTTTATCTTTCGAGGCGTTGCGGCCAATGTCTGCCGTGTTTTCAACACGTGCGCGTGCAGAAAGTATCCCCGTGTGTGTTGCCAAAAAACTCCCCGCTCATGGCTGTTGCCGAACTGAGCATATACCCACAACCAACTGCCTTGCACAAGACTCCCAAAAAGCTGGCGCCCAGGCTTTGCGCTGCACATGATGAACGAGCCAATTCCGACTTGAATACTTGAAAAACCCAATAAACTAGACTTTGATTGCAATAATTAACTGTTGGCAAAGCCCTCAGTACTCTGAACTCCATTCTGTGTCATTGCGCAATGTCAGACCACCATTACATCCCTGTAGTCAATTCAAATCTTGTCTCCTGTTGTTTACGACCCCAGCGCAGAGGGAGATAACGCTGTGTACATAAATCGCGCAACGGCACAGTGTCGCGATCTCGGATCTTGTGCAGTCAAAAATCACCAAAAAAAAAACATGCATTTCTTTTCCCCCATTTAGTACATGTATGTGTAAAAACTTCATCGCAGTATTTGTTGAAAACAGAATGTACTTTTCAACTGTAAACAATTTTAACATATTTGTCTTTAATAATAGAAGCATCCATTCTGTCATGCGAGTTTTGATTTTGGTCCTTAAGCCCCTGTTACCTAAAATATGTAACAACAGAAAACGCCGTAATATTCAAAATCCATAAACATAGATGTGTGAACCCGTTCTCCAAACTGTCGCAAGCCCCGTACAACAGGGGCTTCATCTTCAATCTTTCCAGACAACGTTCATCCCACTATACCACAGTAGGGGTCTGTGACTGGAACAGTTTCGTCTCGCTACGACGTGACCTCAATGTGACCTTGCCTCTAGTGGCCCCGGGGGCTTGATAAGATACTGCACGTTCTGCAACCCAGGAGTCCTGGCGCGTGCAGTCGGTTAAGAGGGCCAGCTAGGTAAATTACCTGGTATGTGACTTCTGAAGTACTGGTAGAGGTCGAAAAGTAGAAAGTTTTGTCTGTTTACAGGTAGGTTGGAGATTAATATGTAATGCAATCGCCCGCGTCCACACTGGGGGCTGCATGGGTTCTTTGGGATACGAAAGTTATATATTCTGAACCAATATCACATAGGGCGCATTCACATTGAAACTATCGTATTAGGTTGTTGGAACTAACTCCGCGGAGACTCTCGATGAATGCAATCAGACTAACAGATTACCCCGCGGAGTTAATTCGATCTACGTAGAACAAGACTTAGACTGCATTCCCACAGTTTAGATCGATCCATCTGGATCGACCTAACTCCCTGGGGGTTGCTGTCAGCCGAGCGCTCACGGAAGTTAATTACCCCCTTACAGCTTTTAATAGGCGGAACAGACAGTTAAGCCGGCTAAGCTGACAGTAATCTAGTGAGACTCCCCAAGGGGATAGATCGATCTAAAATCTGTGGGAATGCAGTCTTAAATGATGACCTCACCCAAAGAGACAGGTGTACAGACAACCTCACTGACTTTCTCCTGAGTTGGATGTGCAGTGCACATAACAGTTAAGACGCAGCATACGAAGATTGGATGAAAGTTTGATGTGCGCTGTGTGGAACTCCTATGCTCGTTATTTTCAATGCCTAATGCGCCTAACGTATCCTTAAGTATATACAATCCTTAGAATATACAATCCTTTCGTGCTTGATGTCTTTGTTGTTCTTATAAGTCTTATTGTTATTCATTAAAAAATAAACGTTGTATTTAACGTTTTGAAATCCCACTAGGTATATATGAATTTTCCACATCAGCGTCGTAAACAAGTAACGCCACACATATAGTAATACAACACTCCTACGTTAGCTGCCTGCACTGCTAGGTGTTATAGGGTGTCTCATGGGTGATGTCACGAAATAGTAATTTTAAATAGCAAAATAAAACATAATAAATTTCGGGGTCATTTTCTTTCTTATTTTTGCAATATTTTCGTGTATATTATTCAAAACCAGCATATAATGCAAACAGCAAATAAGGAAAGAAACCCTATGTAAAAAGGTAAAAGATATCATTAACCATTTAAGCAAAATGTGAGATTTGGAGCAATGATTGTTTGACCTTAAACTTGTGAAAAACGCAAATTAAGTTTCAAGCTTTTCATGTATTCATATAATTTAAATTGGACATTTATAGATAATACTTTGATTTCATGATTGTTAAAGGAATATTTTTATTTTTAGAATCGTTCAACATGAATAAAAATCTGCGTCTGTGCGCATGCTGTACTGTTCTATTTGTGGCGATAAGTGTTGGGCTACTGATTGCGGTCATTGTGCTAGCAGTGCAACTGGAACAACTCAAGGACCAGCAGCCGCAACCACGTGCAACCAACGACTGGCGTAAAACTCCTGCAACCCCCTCGGTATTTGACACCCTTACAGAGAGTGAAATCACAGAAATACGAGATTTCCTTCACAGTAGGCCTGAGCTAAATTTGGTGCCTGTAAACCGGGCAGATATGGGCAGCAACTACATATATATGATGGAGCCAGTACTCCCTAAGAAGACAGACGTATTACGGCACTTGGACAGTGGCGGGGCAATGCCGGCGCGCAGTGCCCGCGTCAGCTGCTTCATGGGAGGAGAAAACCCCCCGGTTATCAAAGAATTCATCGTCTCTCCAGTCCCAAACGTTGCCCAGTACAAAGACTCCGACAATCCTGCAGAGCGGCGCCCAATTCCTTGGCACACCAGACCCTCTAACCCAGTGGAACTCTCAGCTATTGACACAGCATTGCTCAAACCAGTAACGAAAGAACTGTTCCCTATTCTTAAGGAAACATACGGATATTGGTACCACAACTGTACCGATCGCTGCTTGGTGTTTAACTTCGTGCCAAGGGGTATCAGGGACGGCGACAGGCACATGCTAATTTGGGGGTTCCGCAGCAAGATAGACGGCTACTACCTTTGGCCAGTTTCTCTCTTGCTGCTTGTTGACGTCAACGGGAATGATCCCACACACTACAAATTGACCAGGTTGTACTACGAAAATCGCGCTTATGGGAGCACAGAAGAGTTACTTGCCGCCTACAGTACTTTACCTAAACACACCTATCCCTTCCCCACAGCAGGCGCCACGTATGGTTCCCCCGACCTGCGGGGAGAGAGAAAGGCTAACTGGAAGAAACTACCCAAGCAAACCGAGCCAGACGGAAGGCGGTACACTGTGGATGGACAGAAGGTGAAATACCTGGATTGGGAGTTTAACTTCAGACTGAGAGCTGTTACAGGAATTCAGGTAGGCTCGCTTTCTACGTGTACATGTTTCCAGTTAAATTAACACCGGTTAAACCACCAGTTAAATTTCTTAATGGCATTTCATTATTTTATGTACAATTTATTCAAAATAGCATCATGCCATGTTGTAGAATTATCTTTGTATATTGGTTATTGTAAAAGTACATTATGGTGCTGTCGTCTATGTATTATACGAACCAGCTGCATGTACTTCTGTTTGGTTCTCCTCAGGTGATGGACATCAGGTTCAGAGGCGAGAGGCTAGCTTATGAAATCAGCATGGCTGACGTGGCTGTCTACTACTCTGGAAACGAACCATCTGGTTTATTGGCCAGTTTTGTGGACGCCGGCTGGTCTCTCGGCACGCTCCACCAGCCCCTGATAAAGGGATACGACTGTCCGGAGAACGCCGCCTACTTCAACAACACCTTCTTCGAGTCTGGGACCGGAAAACCGCGGACCTATGTCGATGCTTTGTGTCTTTTTGAGCAAAACACTGGTCTGCCAGTGCGCCGTCATCGCTCCATTGATTTCTACAATCCAGACCAGTCCAAGTACTTCTATAAGTTTAGTATGCCCGGTTCTGTGCTGATTCTTCGCGGTATCCCTACGGTGTGGAATTATGACTACATCTTTGACTTTGTGTTTCATCCAAACGGTGTTATTGAAGTGAAGGTGGCGTCAACAGGATATATACAGACGTTCACGTACCCGTTAGGAGGGAACAGCCCCTACGGGAACTTTGTGAACCGGGACTTCGGTATATTGGCCAACCTGCACCATCATCTCTTCAACGTAAAGGTAGATTTCGACATCGGTGGACAACAGAACCGGTTTGAAACCTGGGACCTGCAGTTAGAGAACAGGACCAACCCTCTAGCCCCAGAGGAGAGGTGGCTGCAGAAAAGGACAGCAGTTAACCTTCGTAAAACAGAGAGTGAGGCACTCATAAAATACAAATTTGAGGAACCCAAGTACTATGTTATGTACAACCAGCAGCGAAATAACACAGCCGGCTACGCTCGTAGTTATCGCATCTATGCCAATGGTTTCTCCAAGGTGATGCTGCCAGAAGGGTGGTACTCTGAAAACGGGATCCCTTGGGCTCGCCACCAGGTGACTGTCACCAAATACAAGGACAACGAGGACACCACGGCTTCCATTTACAACCAAGCCGATCCCTACAACCCCGTCAAAAACTTTGAGAAGTTTTACGGCGATAACGAGGGTATCGTGGATCAAGACCTCGTGGCCTGGGTCTCCCTTGGTCTTCAGCATATCCCTGTCATGGAGGACATCCCTGTAACCACAACACCCGGAAAACAGCTCTCTGTGGTCCTCGCGCCGCTAAATTACTTCGATGAAGACCCTTCTATGACGTCACAAGACGCCATAGTGGATCGACCCTAGCTGGGGTTGTCAAACTTGACTGAATGAAATACGTATCCTGCTTACTAGCGTGAATTCAATATTTTTTATTACTTTTACATCTGTTACAAGTAGAACCGTATGCATGATTTTAATTTTGTTTACTTTTCTAAAATGTTTGATATATGCATATTAGTTACTGGGCCTAAGAAAAAGGTTTCCAATTACGAAAAATACCTGCCGCAGCTTATTTTTAGAAATAAAACTGTATAAAATAATGTATTTTGGTTTGATGCAGTGGAATCCCATGTTTCTCCGTCTTTCATTGCATTTTAACATGCTTTTTTCATTTGGTGATAATATAAAAAATGTTTCACTGGAACGCTCGAAATTTTCATATGCACTTTTAAATTCTAGATTTAAAAATTAGTCCACGTACTTTCTTACATTTCCAGTGATTCTGAGCCATTATTTTGTGTTTTCCTTTCAAATCTTCCAAAGTGCTTATGCCTGACCCCCTCCCCCCCACATTGCTGCCGAGATCAAACATTTATGCAAAAATTATATTGAATGAAATTAAATTAAATTAAAAATCAAATTAAAATTGAGACAACCGTGGATTTTTGTTCTATACACATATTTTAAAATATCAAAATTATATATAGGATTAACTTTTTTACAACTTAAGACCACTTAAAAACTCACGTTCTTCACTTACTTATAACGCCTATGAAAACAGATCTTACGTGATGTCGTAGGTCATAAGTCGTGACGTAGTAGGCCACAACTTACAACGTCACACGTACACGTTCGTCCTGCCGAATCTCTCTAATTTCTGCCTCGAGAATTCATGCGAAGAGGAAGAAAATTAAAGTGACATTTAGCAATGGAAAGCTCATTGAGGGAAGTTTGGAACGACCTGACTTCCGGGTTTGGATTCAGTCATAAGTGCCCGAGTACTTGTATTCCCAAGGGCTTCAAAACATGAAATTCTGAGGACAGGTTCTACCAATCTATGATATAATGGCCTGGAGGGTGGGCGGCCACTGCAGGACGCTGGTGATGGCGTCATTTGACACGTTTATTGCATCAATCATAAAAATACAGTCATCGAAAATCGAGGGGGGGGGGTAAAATTGTGTTATTCAATGTTTCTCATTTTCATGCAATATTCTTTTTTCATTCAATGTTGCTTCAAATTTTTATGAAATATTCCCTTTCATTCAATGTTGTTTCAAATTTAACTGCAATATTCTTTTTTCATTGAATGTTGTTTCATTTTTCAAGCAATATTATTTTTTCATTCAATGTTGATTCATTTTTTCATGCCATTTTTTTTCATTCACTGTTGTTCCTTTATTTCATGCAATATTTTTTCATTCAATGTTGTTTCATATTTTCATGAAATAAACAAGAACAATTTTCCAATGAAATTTTATACTAAAAATAGAACATGATTGATATATTCTGACAAAAAGAATAAAATTGTAGTCTGCAGCACCTTAAAATACACAGCACATTTGCACAAGCACAATTTTCCTAACACAATACAGATCTTACGTGATGTCGTAGGTCATAAGTCGTGACGTAGTAGGCCACAACTTACAACGTCACACGTACACGTTCGTCCTGCCGAATCTCTCTAATTTCTGCCTCGAGAATTCATGCGAAGAGGAAGAAAATTAAAGTGACATTTAGCAATGGAAAGCTCATTGAGGGAAGTTTGGAACGACCTGACTTCCGGGTTTGGATTCAGTCATAAGTGCCCGAGTACTTGTATTCCCAAGGGCTTCAAAACATGAAATTCTGAGGACAGGTTCTACCAATCTATGATATAATGGCCTGGAGGGTGGGCGGCCACTGCAGGACGCTGGTGATGACGTCATTTGACACGTTTATTGCATCAATCATAAAAATACAGTCATCGAAAATCGAGGGGGGGGGTAAAATTGTGTTATTCAATGTTTCTCATTTTCATGCAATATTCTTTTTTCATTCAATGTTGCTTCAAATTTTTATGAAATATTCCCTTTCATTCAATTTTGTTTCAAATTTAACTGCAATATTCTTTTTTCATTGAATGTTGTTTCATTTTTCAAGCAATATTATTTTTTCATTCAATGTTGATTCATTTTTTCATGCCATTTTTTTTCATTCACTGTTGTTCCTTTATTTCATGCAATATTTTTTCATTCAATGTTGTTTCATATTTTCATGAAATAAACAAGAACAATTTTCCAATGAAATTTTATACTAAAAATAGAACATGATTGATATATTCTGACAAAAAGAATAAAATTGTAGTCTGCAGCACCTTAAAATACACAGCACATTTGCACAAGCACAATTTTCCTAACACAATACAGTGTGTCAGGTAAGCGTGCAAGTGAGTACTGCTCAGCAGATGACCTTGTCCATTTACAGCAAAGGACAAAAAATATATCTCCTAAAACCCTTACATGTTATTTCCAAGCGGGCACGAAAATGGGAAAAGTCTAAGATGAATGGTGGGAACAAACATGAAAAGCCACATTCCAGGGCAGCGTTTATGATGATCCCCAAGATATATTCATGGTTAACCCGAATGAACAAGTGCATAACCATCCACAACAAGTGCATAACCATCCAGATGACTCCTCCACCACACAAGTCGTCAATGTATGCAGACAGATCTATGCAGCAGGAAGTTATGCTAGACCCAACAGTGTATTTGGTGGCAAGGACTCAGCGCCAGATTGGTGGGGATGTGCCACAATTTAGATCAGTAAAATGTTCCCAAGGTGGTATGAGGTAAAGGTGGCAATGCAACCTGCCTTATACGCTCAATGGACGATTTTACTGCTCAATTATCAAAATTGAAAAGTTTTTAGCATACGTGTGCTAAAATTTAAAAAAATGACTCAGTTTGATATATAACCTTTCGTCGCTTGAACTTACCGGACACACTGTCCTGATTTTCTACTTTTTCTTTACGGCTGCACATGGTACATGATCAGTGCACATCATGCACATGGTCAGTGTGAGGCATCTCTTTATTTGGACATTCATTCGCCACCTCAAGGACTTGCAGTCCATTTCTGAGCCGCTGTCTCTTGAGGATGCGAGAAACGGTGGGGTACCGCCAAGGAAGAGGAAGAGACGCTGGAGAGGCGTTTGATGGGCTTAAAGGAGCTGTGCTTACAAGGGCGCCGCAATCTGGTCGAGTACTGGGTTGTAGTTAGCAATGCTATTTGGCACGCATGAAAAAAGGCATCATACTAGGACATATGGAGCAGATATACCTAAAGTTGTATATTGCATGTTTGTAAAACTGGATTCTATTCCGTTTAAAAATCTTATTAACACGAGCCAGTGTTTTTCAGGTACTCTAAAGTTAATACATGTATGTAGTTTGAAATAAAAAGGCCTCTATCACAGGGAGCACCGTGGCTAAATTACTACTCCAGCAAGTAACACAACGCGTACGGCGATTATATGTTTTCAAGGGATAAACTACTAACTGACTGTTCTATGTTTTTGTTTCTCTGACTGAGAGGTCTGGAGTCTTCTACACTGTAAGACAGCAAGGGCAATCCAGCTATCGGCTCAACCAGGGAATTGGACTTTACGATATAATTCCCTGGTTCGACTGACAATACTTACTCTGATGATCTCAATACAAAGTATTCTCTATATGCTCTAAATACGTTAAAGTGATTCTATAGCAAGAGATATTAAAGCCAATTAAGACATTTACTAGAGACCTTCAACATAATTAAAATGAGACTGATTTTACTTTTAATTAAGATGTGAAGCCATGACTAAAGTTGCTCAATTCTTTTGAAACTAAGAACATCCTTTAAAACTTGGTTACAGTTCTTCCCAATGAATGAAATACGTTAAGAGATTCATGTAATGTCATTATAACTGAGACATCACAACAGTCTTTAAGTTTCTAAAATGAAATTTGGCCGTGAAATCCCCACTGTGACCCCTCAATGCACATATGTATACCAGACACATACTTTATTCGTCCCAGGACCCGTTAAACTTGTTTAGATGTTCATAGAATGACCCAAGGACAGCATAAATTGTAAAATAAAACATTTCCACGAAGTCTGCGACAAAGGCGGCCATTTGTCGCTTAAACACTGCGTTTTTATTACTCAGTAATTCAACAAATTCGTCCTTTCCTGAAGAAATGACACATCTGCGTTATCTATCTTAGGTTAAAACTAGCTTTGACTTAAATAAATAGATAAAAAAATAATAATAAATTTGGATGTGTAATATATATACAGGTGAAAAACGAAGTTTTGTGACACATTTATCAAAAATCACAAGGAAGAGCTCTACGGTCGCGCAGCACACAAAGTCTGACGTGGAAGACCGACTATGTCCTAAGAGCGCATTCAGAACAGCGGACTAACAGATCCATGGATCAAATATGCTCGGTCCACTTGATTACTTGTTGCGTTCTCCCTGCGGGGGATCTGTTTAGTGTTTAATCGGGAATTAAGCGGTAAGCTTTTAAATCGGTCGCCATATTTGATCCGGGGATCTGTTAGTCCTTTGTTCTGAATGCGCTCTAAGTTACAAAGCAGACCAATTTTAGTAGTTGTTCTGTATTTTCCCCACTATATTTCGAATAAAATGTGTCACTTTTGGGTCCTAAGAGGGTGGGGGGGGCTCCTGGATATTACAAAATTCATCCAAAGGTCGGATCGAGCAAGTTGTTAAAAGATATTGCCTTTTTTCTGGAAAATTACATTTGGCAGCTCATGTGATATTTATCTAATAATTAATATCAAAATAGCCAAGGTCTTCAAAATCACTGCTATTTGAAGTCTCAGATTTGAATATCACCTTCTCGACAGCTTTATTACGGAGGGCAATCTAATTTGCATATAAGAGAAAATGCAGTTTTTTCTTGTTTTTGAGCATAGTAGTGTACATTTTTTTCGTTATTCCTAAAAAAAACAATGCCTCTTTAAGCTCAAAACTTTTCTAAAGATTTGACCGACATTCCCTGTTTATAAGTTATATAATTATAAATAACCTTCACACACGG